AAATTTATTTGAACAGAGGAGTCAATATTTTAGAGTATTAACATGATTTCTGAGCTGTGTCAGTATCAAATTCAATAAGCATGCTTTTTATGATTCATCAAAATCATGATAAAATTTTTGAGGAAGCCAACCATAGAACGAGACAATAGACATCTATCCCTTACTTTCACTAGTATTAGACAAAGAAGCCAGAATGCTCGTGGCCCTATCTACTTACCAATTTTTTTAAGTTGTGCCACAATATATATTATTTGAGAGTATATTAAATCTTTCTAAAACTCAGAAATATAATCCCAATAAGTAAGTAGAATGAGTTTAGCAAGGCTGACTGTTATTGAATTGGTGCTAGTTGCTAGTACCCCTAAAATTCCCTTATGATTACTCTAGTACTTTGTGTTTAATAGTCCATTTTCTTTTTTTCCCTAGAGATGCTCATTATACTTAGTTTATAATTCTCATAATCCATTTTTTTTTTGGAAAACTGCAATCTTAGCCCATCTCCATTTTTTGGTTCGATTCCCATTCTCCATGATTTCTCTAAGATTTCCAAGAACTGTTCCAAGATGTGAGAGAGAGAGGAGTACAGATATAAATATAAACATATATTGCTTACACTATTCTATTAGTTAATTTGTATAATTTGTGTTTATGATAAAATTAAATTTCATATGTAGCCTCTTCATGTATCCCTACCTATCTCATTTATTTTTCTCATTAAAGTAAGATGTTCTATGTTTCTCAATTTCAAGACCATCTTCTTTGATGCAGCAAAAAACTGAGTTCTATTTAATTTTATTTTCTGTAAACATTGCCTCAATTCTGGGTCTCTATTTTTTAAGACCAAAACAAAATTTAAAATCGTTCTGTTTCTAGTACCTTTGGCTCATTTCTAGGTCTGAGTTCATTGACAACAGACTTTGAGATTTAAGTCAGTATTCTTTATTTGCTTGTATGTTTCTTGATTCTTTAGAAATCTAAACTGATAGAATAGCAATCTACATGATTATGGTAAATTTTTAGCTGCTTGTTTTTCTCTTAATATTTCTTAGATATTTTAATACACTTTTAAATTTTTTAAATAAACATTTCCTATCTTCAGTCTATCTCTTTTTATTATTTCAATCCATGGTGTGATGACTTTCATTTCTGTGAAGCTCTTAACTTACTTCCTGAAGTTCACATATCTGATTATACATCCTAATTCCAATTTATGTTTTTTAATCATGATCACTTTGTGCCAATAATATATAGTTCCATGCTCCAACTACCCTTTAGTTTATTGTTCATTAATAAGGCAGAATAGATTTTCAAATTTTTGACTTTTCAGCCAGGCAGATAAAGAAAGGATCAGTTCACCTGCTTTAATTGAATAAAATTTCCAGTCAAAATGTGGATAAGATTTTTCATGCATTTCACATGCATGTTTCCCATCTTTGCTAAAGTTTTGCTAAACTGCTTTCTATCACTCTAATAATCATCACTAGGTTCATTAATACGTTTATCTTGATTAGGTGATTATGCTGCACCAGTAAATTAACCATAACCTATGCATTGCTTAAAAACAACAACATAGAAAATTTGTTGCTTGCTCATGATATAGGCTCAAACAGGCCTGGTGGTGGGGAGAGTCCTCTGCCCCATGTAGTTATTCAAGGTCCCAGGCTGAGAGGATCTCTACTACCTGGAATGTCACAATTCACTGATTCACTGGGCGCCAGCTAGAAAATCATTTGCATATTTTCAATGTTCTGTCTCGGAAATGTTATGCATTACTTCTGCCCATGACTTATTGGCCAGAACTAGGCTGTAGTTAATCCTTCCTAACTGTAAGCATTGGCATATAAGTTGGCTACCTGGTGAGTACCACTGTCCCTATCTGGGTTTGTAGATTAATTTACGTCTATGTACTTCCTTACATCCAACTTCTTTGACTAGAATCATTTCTTAAAATCAACCACTATATTCCAATGATGAACCTTCTTCCACTGAATTTCTGGTATAACCATGAGAACATACCCACTTACTTTCATTAAAATATCAGGTCCTCACTTTTTTTGCATAGTTTTGGTAAACACTTACTGAAGTTGCATATGGCAGTATCTTTACATCTCTATATGTACTTCCCATGCATTCTCTCTACAATGATTATTTATATGACATACCTCCTTCTTTTACAAAATCTAGTTTACAGTTTGCTTGAGAATTCCCTCCTCTGATATTTCACTTTAAATTATTTTGATCAGACAGGAATGTTTTGGCAACTACATTATTCTAAATACTGTAAGATCCAATGTCTTCAACAATAAGAATTTTAAAATCCTATTTTTAACTTCACATCCACAGCCATCTGTTCACTCCTCATAAATATGTGTTCTTTCAAATTTTAACCTTCAATTACAAGTGGCAAATATTTTACATATGTTCCCAAATGCTTCTGTTTACTATGATATTTACTAATTTGCTCATCAATATCACTAGAAAGTCAAGTTTTCTTTATCCACTTATTCCTTTATTCTTCATATATTAGTTAATTTAGCAAATGTGTGTTGAGTATTAACTCCATACGAGACATTGTAATGGTGTTAGTATAATTGCTCCAATATGTTTCAAAATAAGCTGAAAGTGAGTAGAAATTAAAGTAAGGATAGTTGATTGAATACCCACAAATATTTTGTTATCTAATGAAATTTTTCCAAACCAACAATAATGTGAATTTTTAAGTCATTAACTCATGAAAGTGAAAAGAAAGAGAAAAAAGACAACAGCATCACAATTGTGGAAGTCAGAAAGCGTGAAGAGTGGAAATACCTAATGTAGCCAAGAAATCTGAATCATAAATCCATAAAGGGTCAATTCACAGCCAACTCAGTTGTTTTCACAGAATCTTGAAAGTCAGTAGGCAATCGTGGATTGGGAGATACAGGACCAGAAAACTAGATTAAGGAGAACTAGCTGAAAACCTCTTCAAGAATCACTCTAGTATCCAAATTCCTTCTTCTGCTTTGATTAACAAGGTGATTTCTCCTCCTGCATTTTGCAAAACAACTGGATATTTATTCTGTGGATGAAAAAGTTAAAAAGAATAAGTAGCACAGAGTCTCATCATAGGCAAACTAGGTACCATACTTCAGACTGAAGAAACTATGAGCACGCATGCACATGAAAGTGTTGATCTTCCCTCAGTACACTTCCCTCACTGGATTCCTGGGATCATCCAACACTGAAGCCAAGTCTACTCTCCAAGAAAAATATTTTAAGAGGCTTCTATCAAGAATCTTTGTAGCCTAAGAGAGAGAGATGGGACAGGATAAGAAGGGACAGGATAGGAAGGGACAGGAGGGAAAGGAAAAGAAAGCCCATGATAGCATATCCTCAAGTAAAATACCCAGTTAGATCACCCATCGTAAAGCTTCTATCTGCATTTTCTACTCACATGTTCAGTCCTTTCATAAGCTTTATGGTGGTACAGTATCAAATATGAGAAAACAAAAAGAATAATTAGAAAGATTAAAAAGCTACTAATATGAAAGGTGTTGACCAAAATAAACAAAACAAAACAAAACAAAAACATATAAAAAAAAAAAAAAGAAAGAAAGAAAAACTGCATGTGGAGGAAAGAAAACAAAAATAAAATCTACCAGTAAGATAGGAGGAGATACAGGAACTGTGAAACAAGAAAGGGGTCCCTTGACAAAGAAATATTCAGCAAATTTAAAAGGAACTTTTGGACATTAACATTTGGTGTCAGTGCTAAAAAAAAAACCTCAAATGATAGTTGTTGGAAGAAAATGCTAAAGGTATCTCCTAGATATTACAGGAAAGAGAGAATTGTAGGAGAAAAAAGAGCAAAACATTAGAGGACCTTTCCAAAAGGCCCAAATAACATCCAAATAACTAGACTTCTGGATAGAAGAAAAGGAAGAAACTTAAGACAATACATTATTAACATTCATAATGATAATTTCCTAGAACTCTAAAGTCCAGATTGAAGGTGCCCCAAAATTGCTCTGCTCAGGGAAGACAGACTCATAACAAGACACCATCATTTAGGAATTTTTGAAAACTGGGAGCAAAGAAAAGCTTCTGAAAGGTTCTAGAGAAAGAAAATAAGTCCTAAGCAAAAGATCAGGGATCAAAATGGCATTACTCCTCTACAATTCTAGAAGTGACTTATGAAAGAAAGTATTTCCTACCTAAAATTCTATAATGCCCCAGTTTATCAATTAAGGGTATCTGGAGAATAAAGATATCTTAATACATACAAAACTGCAAGAATTTAACTATGAAAACCCTTTCTCAGAGTCAGAGAACTAACTGGGAAACAAGAGTCAATTACTAATATTATACTTCAGAATATTTATTTAGGAAAAAAGTTAATATGTAAGATATTGTACTATTCTATTTAATTCAAATTTATAGCTAGCTCTCGGTTTTGATTTTGATTTCAAGGGTATTTGAAAGTGAAGACAGTATTAATGGCACCTCTACTTTTTGTGCTTTTCTTTTTCTATTTATCTTATTGGTAATTTTTTTTTCATTTCAGTAACTATATTTAAATAAAATTATTTAAGTACATATTCTCCATGGTCCTCAAAGTTCACAAAACTCCTCATAAGGAATTAGAAAAGTTCATTAATGCATTGGGTAGCAGAATCTTACTGTGCATTCTAACGCTTCTGAAAGAGGTTTTATCTTTATTGCCTCCCAAACACTATTGGGACAGTGGATTAAACTATAGACAAACTAGTAAGATAAAAGGTAAAGAAGTTCTGTTGGATTTCTCAAATTGTTTGACACAGTGCATGGTAAACTCTGATTACGGTGAAACCCTTATTTTTCTACCAAATACCATCAGTATGTCTCCTTTATTTTTCTTATACTTGGTATTAGGCATCCATGTAGAAGTGGAAAATATCATTGAAGTGAATGCCCTTTCAATTAGCACTATAACATAGAATCAGTGAAAGCAATGAATCTTGTTTCTTTTTTTCCCACCTCAGGTGTATAGTACCTAACAAATTAAGACACAGTCAATAACTATGAATAGACAAAATAATGGAGTGATAAATGAAGGAGACAAAGGAATGTACTGAAAGAGCCCTCAGGATGAAGAGATCTCAGGATGGTAGTTGCACGTGTGCAAGGGGCAGCCCATCCAGATTGTAACAGGTGAGATGATTCTAAGACTTCTTCATAAGTATTAAATCTTTAGAATACCTGATGCACCAAAATGTCTTGAGAGATGACATGGTAATAGGCAATAGGCAAAAGTTTGGGCTGAATTAGAGACATTCACATATGAAAACTAAACAAACAAGAAAGCAAAATTAACTCCAGAAGAAAAATAAAAGAGTAAACAGGGAAGAAAAAAGAGCTAAGCCCGTGTTTTCTATAGTTGGAACTCAAAGCATAATACTCCAAAACTAAAAAACAAACAAATTCCCCAAAGAGAACAATTAAAAAAATAGCAAGAACTATTAAGAGAATGCCATTATCTAGAGCCATCGAGTTGCTTTTCAAAATAATCAGCTAAAAGAAATAGAAGCAATTGCTGCTGAGAAAGAATTGCAGTGGGATGCCATTTTTCAGAATTAACCTGTACAACTACCTGACACTTTTCACTATGTGCAAGGATAACTGATAAAAGTAAAAAGTAATGAAGAAATTTTAAAAAAGAGGATCAATGTACTTGAGAATGGCCTCTGTTTGCCTGGCACATGCCCCAACCCTTAATTCCACCCCAGGAAAGGGTCTTCATCCATCTTCCTTTGGAACCAACACCACCAGTCATCTTTTCTTCCCAAGGTTAACAACATGATTGTTTCAACCTTCCTGTGACTGCAGACCTCATTATTGTTAGGTTAGAAATTGAAGGGCTAGTTTTTCTTCATTCTGAAAATGTCTTATAATTTGTGAGGAAACTGTACTAAGTCCTTGACTCTTGTTTCCATCTTTTCTCACAGCTTTTCATTTGCCATGCTGCTGAGGATTATCACGAACGTTTTTAGCATAGCATTCTTCCTGTATTTCATCCTGAATTACTGTTGTATCCAGTCTAGAAATTCCACTTGTTACATTTTAAATTTGATTTTCATCAAAACAAGCTTCCTTCCAAGTCCACTAACTCATAACAATCTCAAGCGGGAATAAAAACATAGCACCTGTATTTCAAGTCATTGAAGTGAATAGTTTTTCGCACATAATTCAAGATTTTAAATCCTTCCTCCACACGTCTTCTTTCCAAGCAGCCGGTAAGCATGACACACTGAGAAGAAGCATCTTTCAATCTATTGTCCTTACATTATCTATGTCCAGATTTGCTAAGAGTCTACTCTCACTATTTTTAATTGCTTAAAATTATTATTTTAATTAATTAAAATTAAATTATTTAATTAAATAAATTAAAATATTTTTAATTAATGTTCATTTATTTCTTCTTCTATCCTGAAAAATCTTCTGACTCACTCCCCAGTTATTATCCAATAAGCTGGTAGTATTCAAATCAGATAGCCACTTTCCCGCCCTAACCTTGCCCTGACTTGACTTCTCTGTGGCATTTAACACTAGTCATTCCTCCTTTTACTTTAAATTCTCACTGCATCATTTCCAGGACACTGATTCTTTTCCTGCCACTACAGTTTATTTACTCTCAGTATCTTTGCTGGCTCTTTTTCTTCCCTACTTAATCTCTTTATTTTTACCTTTATCTTTTTGCAAATAGTCTCACCTATCCTGAAGCTCTAACTGCTACCTACATATTATTTACCCTCTTTCCTGTATCTCAAGGTCAGGGGTTTCCCAGGACCTCCAGGTGAGAATTTGGCTGTCTCACAGAATCCTCATTTTGAATTCATCCTTTTACCCAAACTTCTCCTCCTTCTATGCTCTTTATCCTGTTACAGAAATCCCTAGAGAAGGGAGTCATTCTGATGTGCTTTCTATCACATGCCTCTTTACAGGAACCCCACAACTACCAAGACTTACTCTTGTCTTTTCTCTGTGTCTACTCCTTTCCACTCCTACAGCAGATGCTTTAAGGTTCTGTCTTGAGAAAGACATCCCAGCTCTATACCAATTAGTGGAATACTTAAGCAATTTATTTCATCTCTTTAAGCCTCAGTTTCTTTACCTGTAAGTTGGAGATAACAGTCTTTTCTAAATCATAGGATAAAGAGTTAATTGATGTAATATATGTAAATGTTTTTAGCGCTGACACTGATATCTACTACTTGTATTCTTAAGGAGGTAGAAGAATAGCAAAGATATTTATAAAATGTAAAAGAAAAGTTAAAAAAAGGAACGAGACAAAGAAAAAATAATAGTGTGTTAGAAATGGCTGTAAACTCAAGGTCTGCAGAACATTTGATTCTGTCCCTTCATCCTGCCTTTGTGGCTGTGACCAGGATTCTTCCTCACCTTGACTGTGGCCTTAATTTTCACATGATATTTATGACTTCTTTTCCTTTCTTTGAGGAAACTTTTTTAAAATTAGGTTTTTACAGGTAGATTTCTGTTAGTAATATTTTCAAATATTGTTGTAGTAACTTTTAAAACAGTTGCCTTTCTCAGACTAGCCTAGAAAGTGATTTGCACACTGAATTCTAATTTAATTCAGGGATGTGTTCCCACCTTGCTGATGACGGTGTATGGTAAGAGGTGCCAAGACTGCAGCTTCAGCTATCATCAGCAAAATCAGAAAGAGTCAGCGATGCAAGATCAGCTCTTCACATAACATTTTCTCTTTTTTCTTCCAGGATGCAACAGATGTGAACAGCAGGGAAACAACTTTTATGTTTCTAGCAGAATTCCATTAATTTAAGTCTTCAGAGGACACATTCCAACTTTGTCATTGATTTCCTAATTTCGTTCTGGCAAGTATCTATAATGTGTATTGCCAAATAATAGGTTTATACAGGTATATACTCCACCAAAAGGTATATACTGTGGAAAGTTATATCTGTACACTCCTTCACAGTAAAGAAATCAACTTACACACAGGAAAATCAACGTTTATAAAAAATTATATTGTTCTAAGTGTCGTACTTCAATTTCAAGTGGAGATAGAAAGACAAATTATTTATTATTCAGTTTTACAATGTATTTTCATGTTAATTATCCATTGGAAAAAAATAATGCTACAAAGTGCATACTTTAAACTTGTTCATGCACATTTTAGTTTGTCTTAATTTTTCTATCAGTTCAGGCTTTTTAACTGTAACTGATTCATCCTTCCAAAAAATATTAATGGAAAGATTACAATTAAACTAAAAAAATAGTGCTTGAAGGCTCTGTAACCGTTAGCAATCCCTAGAACATTTTAAGCTACTTTAAAAAAAAAAAAAGACAGAAATACTGAATGTGCTGCCCACACATAAGCATACGGGCCTCCCCAGTGTCTCAAATCACAGGAAATTTTTCATTTTACCCCCACAGCTTCAGTTAATGCATGTAATAGAAATGGATATTAGAAATCTATTCTCATTTATTGTAATATGAATGCAAGCAGAGAAAACAGTAAAAATCTGCAGTGTCTGCACCTTTCCTAGCAATGTGGATTGAGGGAGAGTAGGAATTATTTATGGACATTCTGGCCCAGCTCTGATATTTAAAGGGCTTCAAGGCTTTCTCCATCAAGAATTGCAAGTTTTAAAATGTCCCACAGAGATTTCACGAATCAACCTTCTTAAAAGTAAGGGGAGAAAAATTTGCTTTTCCATGGATTAAAAAGGACTTAGATGTATGATGTTGGTATGAGTCTTTTATTATGCATTTCTTTATGCTAATTTACCATGTGACTTAATTAAAAAGAAACAGAGGTAGTTATCTTTACTAGGAAAGATTAGAGACAAAAATACTCTGGCATTCAAGACTCTCTGAAATCTTGTGTTTATGCCTCTAGTTCTGTGTTATCTGTTCTCCACGTACACAGAAGCACACAAAAACAGGAAAGTAACACAGTTTTCAATAAACTAGCTTACATTTTTAAAAATATGCTGCAGATAGTAGAGTCTGGATTCTTCTAATTAAGGAGTATTTTCCTTGGCCTACTGGAATAAAAGGTAGTTAAACTGATATTCTGGCTTTTCACTGATTATAAACTAGGTCAATTTCTGTATTTCCATTCCAATCACCAGTGGTGACTCATATTTTTCTCATATTGAACTCTAGGACTATCCAGTAATACCTAAAATAAATCTGCCCAATCATCTGAGCTCAGGGACAGAGCCATGCGTTTCTAGTTTAAAAAAAAAAAAAATGTGAGTAAGCTGGTAAGCCTTTCCACCTTAATTCATACAAATGAATATTTATATACCAATATAATTTGCATTGGGAATAAACCAGAAATCTCTATAGAACAGGATATGAAAAAATGGAACAAGTAAGCAAAATATTTCACAGTTCTAGAAAGCAAGCAGCAGCAATGAAGAAGCAGTAATCTTGCGAAAGATTTATCCCGATGATGGAAACTCATGCTGATTGACAATACCCTTAGAGACATCTGAGGAGGGGCTTCGGGGTGGGCAGGTACCACAGAATTAAAATCTTACTTTTCCATGGCCCTTGACAAAGAATAACTACATTCACTGTAATTATCCACCTTCAGGGGAATCTCCCTGATAAGGCATCAGAATCAAAGGGAGACTTCCCCATTACATTACTTTTCACCTATAAACACTTTATATTATATAGTATAAGCTTTTTACTTGTATATGCAATACAGATATGAAATACAGATTTAAACTCTTTCAAGATACCACGTGAGAAGAAAAAAAAAAAGACTTGTAAGAGTAACAAAAATACAGTCCGAAGCCTCTTTGGTGCTTTTGCTTATCAACTTCTTTTCCTCTTTTACACAACTCAACCCACAAAATAAATCCTTGGTGAAAATATAAGGTATTCTCTCCAACTCTGCTGCTTACATATAGTCAGTTACCGCAAATGGCTGTACTTCACATTGGCAGCGTGCATTGACAGTTGTCTGAGCAGATTACTGTCTTAGTTTGTGTGGTTATACTATGTTGTCCAATAAAATATTACCTGGCGAGTGACATAGCCTTAGTTTGTGATTTGGAAATTAGATTTGCCTGTTTTGAAGGCAAATTACTTAACCCACACTATCCATTATTTTCCCCATATGCAGGCATGTCCCTATTTAACAAAGACAATGGAAATATTTGAAGATTGCCTGTAGTGCAAAACAAATAAACACTACATTGTTAGAAAGATAAATGCAATGTAAGTTTGAAACAGAATTATACATATTTAATGGACAAATAAACATATATTTGAAGAGTGAAATCATATTTGACATTTGCAGAATCAAACACAGGTGCAGTAACAGTGTGTGTTTGCCTCTAAAATGAACACATTTCATTTGATAAATCATCGCACAATTTCAGCTTTAACTTTCTGTAATTCTCTGATTATGTATTTTTTAATGCAAAAAAAATTTATAAACGAGGAATAACAAGCAAAAGCCTAAAATCACCATACTTTGTAATTAATGCCTTGAATCCAAAGTTTCAGAAGATAAAGTTTGTAATTGGATATTTTAGCTCCTTATTCCCACTACTAATTTTGGCCATTACTGCCAAGAAATTGACAGTAAGCAACAGTTCCACTTCTCATCTGGAGTCTAGGGCACCACTTTTTTCCCCCACAAATACTTGCATTGATTATACTCAATATTTCAAATGAAAAGCCTTCTGAATTAAACAAGTTCTGTGTTTTGTTGAGTAATGCGTATGTGTGCCTTTATTATGACTCCTTTGCTAAGCTAGTTTCTTTCTGAAGAGTCTATGTGTTCGTGTTGCCTTAGCATCGATGCTTTATCACTTTGCTGAGATAGTTTATGTTTTAGTCACCATGAAACAAAGTAACTCCAAGACAAATGCATTCATATATGGAGCTTTAAAAAATCTCAAGTAACAAATCAAAAGTAATACAAATAGACTTACTCATTTGAGGGAGAAGAAGAAAATAATGAAGAATTCTTCTTTGTTTCCATCCTTATTCTGTTTTGGTCATTACTGCTTCCTCTGCTCAATGAATTTAATATAATCAGATATAGCAAGGATGTGATTTGTACAAACTTCTTTTTGTCTCTCATACAAATGAAGCCTGTGATATGTAAAAAAAAAATGGAAATATAGTCAGGATAATACAAGATGTTGTAAAAACTGAATAAAGTTGTAATAATTGTAAAACTAATTATGCTGGATGTTCCTTGAGTTGAGTCAGTTAAAAATACGAGTGGATAAAATAGTGATAGGAGATTCATCTCTTGGGAGATGAATTTTTAGTCATGTAAAAGTTTAATAGCAAATATTTAATGATTAGTTATAGAATTAATTATAGTTGCATCTCTCTAGGAATCAAGAGGACATCTTTAGCACACATCTACAGAAATAAAACACTGAAATTAAAGTCATTTTCAGATGACATCACCACACGTCAATAAAAATTTAGAAGCAGGCAGATAAAGTTATTCAGTCTATAAGAAATGTTCATTGGATAACTTTGGCAATTTTCAGAGCTCTGAAATAACTAGAAACAATATAATATGGTGCAAATGGCTAAATTAGAGAAAATTCAATTCCAAAAGGCAAACACTGACAAAGACAGGTTTCGGATTAAGTACATGAGAAACTCATTCTGAAAACATATCCCATGTTAGAAGAGTAGTTTTTATTTTAATTTTGTCTGAGTCCTCTGGTCTAAAATATATATGCTATTCTTCACACTCCTAAGCAGTAGACTTTGGCCTTGGGACTGTGGCTCAGCTGAGTACTGGAATGAGAGTTATTAGAGTGGCTGAAGATGGAGTGGATGACTGATGAGGCAATTTGCCCTTTCTCTTCCACAAAAGCTTTCCTGGATCTAACCTTCTATCCTGAAAAGAAAGGCTGCAAAATCTCTGAAATGTGACATTTTCCAAATGGAACAATCTGAGAAAACCAATTACATTCTTACTCACTCATTTTCTTTCTAGCACTCTCCTTTACAGTAACTAAAATCAGAGGTTTAGTTAGAGTCTCAGTAGAGCAGCCAGTCACTAATTGCATCCATTTTCAATTAATGTTTGATGAAGCAAATTTCTTCAAATTTCCATCCAGCCTATGCACAAACCAGTTGCATGTGATCTAAATTCTTAAATTATAAAATTCTGTATGTGCTAAATTTTAGACGTGAATGGAACAGCAAAAGAGAATAGTTTGTGGTCAAGGAGTTTGCAGGATGAATACAATTTGCCCCAAGTGAAACCAGAATGAATATCCATGAGATACTCATCAGTCTTTTTAGCTCAGTTCCTGACAAATGCAGATAGCACAGTGTGAACACGGTTATTTTCCATGTGACCTGGTCAGATACTTGGTAACAGCAGTGGCTGATATTTTTTAGGGAAAAATCTAACAACTTAACTTTAATTGAGTGCACTGCAAGATAGCCACCAACATGATTTTATTTTTCAAAGATTTCCCAGGATGGGAGAAATGTTCATAGATAGACCTGACAAGCATAGTGATTGCTTTTCCTCTGGGTAATAAAATCAAATACATTTCTCTCGCTTTTGCCAGTAGTTCCTAAATGCAAAAGAAAAGCAATCATCACATGAAATACATGCCTAAGGTACATTTCCTGCATTCGTCAGTAGGTACCTATTTCCCTTTCCATTCAGAAGTTTCTTCTGGAAGGAAAATAAAATTCCAGGCTATGTAAGATATGCCCCCAAAGAAAATATCTGTGAGGCTTGGAGGGTTTCTTTTTAATTTGTTTTGTTGACTCTAATCTAGAACAAAGTCAGTTTTTCTCTAATTATGCCAAGTGAGATTCCCTTAAGCCTATTATTTCAGAGAAAAAAGGCTTAGAAACAAGAAAAGTCCTCACAGTCAGTCACCTTTAACAGTTTTTCTCTTTCATTTTCGAAGGTTTAACATAAAACAAGCATTTCAGATAGGTAATTAACTGATTTGAAGTTTATATAAAAAATCCTCATGCTCTCTTTAAAAATTGTATGTCTTATACAGATCTTTTATAGATGTTTTCTCTTTGTTTCAAGGAGGAAATTCAACTAAGTATACCACTGTTTCCTAATTAATATCCATAAGTGATAAAAACAAAATAAAATTATGACCTAGGTTTTGAATATTTTATACTAAATCTCGGGCTGAGAATTAAAATATCTCAAATGCCTCTGGGAAAAAAGTAATGAGTTATCAAGCACTCCGTTTCTTACTCATATTTGAATGGCCATCCTAGTTGGATCTAGGAAGATTTTGAATCTCCAGCATCAAACACAAGCCCAGGCAAAACAGAGTCCTCCATATACATGTGTTTAATGAATACATGGAAAAAACGAATTTTTGAAGTATACATCCAGTTTTTATCCAAATACGCAAATATACTCAATCACACCCCTGCACAAACATCAGGAACTGTGCTAAAATGCAGAGACCACCATGATGAATCAGATACACATTATCTTAGCTCTGACAGACCATACGTTCTAGTGAGAATGAAAAATTGTAAACACATTTTTAAAGAAGACCCAAAAAACCACTTTTGATAAATTCAATAAATAAGTAGGGGTAGGGAGTGATCAGATACTTTGTTTAGAGTTAGGGAAAAGTTTCCTGAGGAAATGACCCTCTAAGCTGAAACCTCAGGGGAAAAAAAAGAGCTTGCCATTGTAGGAATCGCCAGGAAGGAAGGAAGGAAAGGAGGGAGGGAGGCAGGGAGGAAAAGAAATGAAGAGAGGGAAGGAAGGAAAAACATAAAAACTACTTGCTGATCTTGGAACATTCTTACTCTAGAATTACTCTTCCCCAGCAATGTTCTTCCTATGCAAGGATCTTGAGCAGAGAAATGGCAAGGGGTCAAAAGGGAAAGGTGAAACAAAAACAATCCTAGCTTTCACAAATAAAAATTTATTCAGTCCTGAAAACTAAAGATGAATAAATGTTACATGGATCCCAAGAGAAGTTATGCAATACATTTCTAAATATATTTGATTTCACTTATAAGAAAAACTAATCACTTGTAATTAGCATCTGTTCATTAATAACAAGTGTAGCCAGATTTAACTAATTTCCTATACTGATCATGTTGTAAAATTGCCAAGGACAGATTTTTGAACTTCTACAGGGCATTCAAAACTCCTACAATGTGCTTAACTGAGGGAAATATATATTAGGGAATAATGCCAATTAATTTCAGAGTTTTCTTCAGCGATATGCTATAGAAGTGGCCATGCTATTTTAAAGATTAAATAAAAACCCCAGGTAATGACACAGGCATTACTGGTAGAGCATCTATGATATTTGGAAGGAAACAGAGCATTACTAGCCAGACAGAATCTCCTAGGTCTTCCTGTAACTTTTATCTTTGGATCTCAGTTTGGTCATCCGGAGGTATACAGAATACTTTCAGTCTTTCTTCTATGTAACATCCCTCTGAACATTTGAGGAAAAATATTACATTCACATTCAGTTTTTTCCAGATTAATCATTCCTTATATCTTTACCTCTTATTCTTATTTTTGATCATCTGGGTTAAGCTTCTCTACATACATTCCAATTTCTCAATATGCAGTTTAAAGTGTGATTTCCAGACAGTGAGCACAGGATGCCCATTCCAAGGATGAAATGGGCTACCTAAAAAGATGGTCAGCCCTCTGATATTTCACACCTGGAGCTAGACGATGACTGGGAGCTCAGTCACTAGTCAATGGCTCTGTAGTTTTCAATGCCTCTAGCACGTTAAACATCATCCAACAATGGTTTATCAAACAAAGATTATGTAAACCTAAGGATGAACTAAGTATTATATATTTTATCAACAGTTTTGGCAAACAAGTGCTATTCTGGATCCACAAGTATAGGGAAAAATCAGTAAAGGAAAATCAGATTAAATAAAGAAATGATTCTTGATTCAAAATTCTACCAATAATCTGAAACAGTGTGGCTTTTCTCATTGAAGTTGTTCTATTCTTAATTGGTAAAAGCAGCTTCCCACATGCAGTATCTATGCTTTGGATTAGTGTTTTATCTCTATCAAAGCATCTACACTGATTCATTGACTGAGATGACTATACCTGGTTTGTGGGCATGACAAAGCAATTAAAAAAATTTAAAATGTCACTGGACTATTTCTGTGTAAGCTGACTTAACAGACTTTTATTGTGTATTATACTAAATGCAAGTGGGACAATTTTTCAAAAATATGTTAACATTGAGAAAATGTGAGGTTTATATCAAAATAGATCACATATCTTCAGTTTGGTTTCTCAGTTTTTCTCTACCTTGATTTCCTCATCTTTGAAATATATTTTGCTTCTATTCTCATCCTCTTCCTAGTATAGATTGGCAATTACGCTTTATTTTTCATTCGTGAAGGAATAAAGATATGAACGACAAAATGAGTGATTGTGTACACAAATGACTGTATAAATGCAATGAGTATTTGTTAAGCACTTGGGTTTCTGGTGAGAGATAAAGTTCGAGAAAAACAGAGCCCTGAAATTTCACTAAGCAATTCTAACAAATTGGGTATAACAAAGTCAACTAAATTTGTAATAGTTAATAGATATGCTCAGAGGTGTATATTAAGGTTGAAGTGGTAATCGGGAGGTCAAAGGGTTGGAAAGGACACATGATGATTCTCCAGTACAGGCTAGGCACACACTCTCAGAACTACAGACTTAATATAATCCTGAAATCCTTAGAAACATGAGGGAAGGTTATAATAACCATCTCAAGGTTTATAAAAGAATTCTGTACCGTGGGTATTTGAGAATGACTGTGAATTGTTTGAACAGCAAACTGATTATAAGATTGTCCTCATCATAGCAATAACTGAGAACAACAGCTTGATAATAATGCATTTGTGAATTTGAAAGCCAAATACATGCCATGCATTTTACATATGTAATTGCTTTTGTGCCTACAAATACTGAAAGAGAGGTAACTTTACCCCCATTTTTAGGGAATACAAAATTAGTGGTATTTATTATTATTATTATTATTACTTGAAATGTGGGCCCCTCCCCACAAACTAAAACGCCTCCAAAAATAAAAATTACCCATTGCAAATAAAAGAAGTAAATGAAATCTGCCTTGGCG